TGGATTGATCAAGTTCAAACTTCACACACACAAGGTACATCATGTCACAAATATGTATGTGCATTTGTTTCATGATCTCATTAACGATAGCCAAATGGGGGCCGCTTTAAGGCCGAAAATGCATTGAAATCGCACATTTTCACCATTCCGGACCCGTATCTCAGTTATGCATGGATGGATTTTGTTCAAATTTGGTACATACATTAAACATAATAGGACCTTGATGCACGTCTTTTTTTTTTTGGGATCAAGTTCGAAATGGCCGACTGGCGGCCATTTTGTTAAAGAATTCAGTTCTGGATCCGTATCCAAGACATGTCTGGATTGATCAAGTTCAAACTTCACACACACATGGTACATCATGTCACAAATAGATATGTGCATTTGTTTCATGATCTGCTTAACAATAGCGGAATGATGGCCATTTTAAGGCCGAAAATGCATCAAAATCACGTATTTTCACAATTCCAGAACCGGATCTCAGTCATGCATGGATGGATTTTGTTCAGATTTAGCATAATGTGTTGTACATATGCAGGTGCATTTCAGTCATGATCTGCTTTGAATGTATATGTCACTCAAATATGAACGGAACGGGGACGTGTCATTGACAATGACTTGTTTCTATCATGAAAAACTAAATTGATCATATTACCATCGTAGAGTCATTCATGGTGTTATTGTCATTTATATTTAATAAAAGAAAAAACGATTTTTTTGTCTAATGATGTATGTGACTCTTTTGGAACAAGAATGTCCTCGCTCTTTCCACCTAACATCACATTTTGGATGTAGTCATGATATCCAATCTGGCAAATAAAGTTTTGTATTTAATACCAAGTAGTGTGTTGTGTGTCTTTGAATTTTCGCTTGTTTACTTCGTCTCTACAAAAAAGTATTCATACATATCTGCATCTTCGCTAGCCAAGGTCTAAGTTTATTCGGCCAAGCCTCTAAACAGACATGGGCAGAACAACCATCAAATATGCGTATTCTAACAGCGCCCCCAGTAGTCAGTTGCGGCTAATCATTGTCCAATCAGTTTGCGAGTTACAAATCCCTCTTTGGCATTTCATTTTAAACAAAACTGTCGCCCATGAATCGTGATATTTGTGATGATAAAATTGCGAAAGTTTTCGATGTTGACGCCCTCAAGCGTCATCAGGTACAGGCAATCGACTCAGTTTTGTGTGGGAAGGATGTCTTCATAGCAACAAAAACAGAAAGTTGAATTTTGTTTTATAATTTGGTACGTCCAAGCTGATTGGGTGCCTTGTTTCGAGGCGCGCCCAATCATATCTCACTGCTTAAGATACGCAATTAGTCTATGCGATCCCACGTGTACATGCCTATAGGTCGAAGACACAGAACCGTGCGATTCAGACGATGACATATCTGTATCATTTATGAATTAGGTACAAAATAAAATGAAACTGACCATGATATTTAACTTTTTCGAATGCTATAAGTGTTGTTGCAACATTTTGCAATTTTGTGTGCATTTTTTTATGTCATTGTTCATTGTTTTTACGATTGTCATTGTGCATTTTTAAATGATGTCATTGTTAATTTTGGACCGAATGGAATTAATTTTGGTCTCAATCAAATTTTTAATATAATCCTTTGACTAATTCTAATTACTTTTTATTGTAGATTTGACTATTTGAGGATTGGTGATGGTTTAGACTCTGACGATAGAAGAAGTCGAGTGAGACGTGAATCAGGATATAGATTACCACGACCACATACATCGGCCACTGATGACTTGTGGCTTTTGTTCATCACTGATGGCTCTGTCACATACAGGGGCTTCAATTTAACATTACAGGAAGAACAAGGTATGATTAGAACTATTGTACTCGTATTTGGATTATTTGCACCAAACATAGAAATAAACCAATTAAAAAATTTTCAAAAAAGTAGTATTTATCAATGTGCATCATACATGTAAGTAACACAAAAAGTGTGTTACATTTATTTTTCTCTTCATACATTAACAGATTATTTTAAACAAGGATAACACTTTCCTTTTCTGGTAACTGGTTCTCAGTTATACAGGTTTACTTAATGCAGTTGTAGTAAAGTATTCTTCATATTTCCCCGCCCACACAGTGTGTGAGGGTGTAACTGTCACTTAACAATACATTTATTTACCAGGGCACACAGCATTTGAGACCTGATTACACATAGTTACCTAACAACACAATTATTTACCTCCAATTTAATGTTTATTTTTCAGACTGTATTGAGACCCTAACTATCCCAACTGGTGGCTCTGTTGTAATATCTTCACCATATTACCCTCAGAATTATGATCATAATACTTTCTGTGAATGGAAAGTCGTAGCTGATAATGGGCGTAATATACGTGCACTTGTACTTGACTTTGACACAGGTAAGTTTATATATTCCATCAGACCCTGACTGTTTGATAAGTTTAAATTGAGAATTTATAAACTTTACCCAACGACACTATCATAAATGTATGTTGCTAGTCTTCAGATCCTGACTAGCTTAAAAATTGTGCTTTATATATGTTATATGTCATTTTACTCCCAAATCCAGAAAGAAACTATGACACTGTAAACATTGGCACTGGACAGGATTCTACTGCTCTGAGAACCAGAATACTACAAGCATCCGGTACACACGATCAGACAACATTCTACACTGGATCACATGAGATATGGACCACATTCGTTACTGATAATACTTTTACAAGACCAGGATTTCAGATAGAATTCTTTGATGGTGAGAATTATTGAAGCAAATTTTGTTGTTGAATTTAGTTGTGCTCATATCCCAAAGTTGTTGTTTATCACAAAATTTGAATGCACATTGTCAAAATGTTGCTGTAAAAATTATATTTGCTGGAAAAAATTCACCCTGATAAGCTCAATCTTTGTTGAAAAAATAGTGCATTATAAAGAAAGTAAAATAGTCGAAAATTACATTTTGTTTTATTTGTTCTTTCTAAATTTTTGGCAGTTCTTACTTTCACTCTATTTCATCTCTGTACATAGCTATAGAGGGTGTATTATTTTTATATCGAAGTTTTGCTTCTACTTTACAACAGAAAATGTTCTGTTTCAGATGGCTGTGTGAATGATATCCGTATGGGAACACCAGGGTCAATTCAATCTCCCAACTATCCCAGTGACTATGCCAACAATGCTGACTGTGTCTGGATTATCCAAGTCAATCAAGGCGAGATGATCAAGATTACTTTTATAGATTTCCATCTAGAAAACCATTACGATACTTTACTAGTTGGTGAAGGGTCCGATCCAAACTCTGACGATTACTTGGTGAGAACTATAAATGCTATTATATTTATTGCAAGATTTTATCTTATGAATGTTTTCTGACATTGTCTTGCTAAACACACTCTACACGGTATTGAATATTTGTACACAAATCACATTTTCAGTGTTAGTTTGTGTGCATTCCTGTCTCTATCTATATATGCATATAATTGTATTGTTGTATATTGGTGCCCCTCAGTCAAATTTTCTAAGTCTGTGTTACACAAATTGTGTAACTTTAAACTGGTTAAGAACGCACATCTGAGGTGGTAAAATCTTAATTATTATTGAGTTTCTTGCATTAATATTTGACCCAACCCCATTGCCTGGAGACCCAAGTTGTTTTAAATTATTTATGGTTAATACAGCATCCAGTTTTAAAACATTTAATTTATTTCATTAATACAGTCACTGAATCTTTCCTTCCATTTGGACTCAATTAAGTATCAACAGATAGGTTTCCTCTCATATCTATAATATGTATCAAATAAACCTTCAATCTAACTTACTTAGAAATTAACTGGACCAATTTTACCTGATCCAATCTTGAGCACTGGACATGAAATGTGGCTGCGACTCAAGACTGACTGGAATATAGTAAGACGTGGATTTAACTTGACCTATGAGCTGCAGTGTAAGTACTTACAATTTTTAATGTCAAGATTTCAGCAAAGTAGTCTATGAATTTAGTGTCCCATTTCATTCATTTCCCCATGATATTGAATCTAAGTTTCTTTCACTGAAACAAGGAAATAACTTTTACTGAGCAAAGGAACAGCATTAAAAAACAAGTCATTGTTGTTGTTGTTTTCATCATGCCTACGATAAAGTAATATGGCCAAAAAGCAATATAACTTCCATCTTATATCTGATCACAAGTTGAATTGTTATGGACATGTATTGCTACATGTACATGCATAATATATGCAATCAAATTGGATAATTATGTAAATAATTGGTTATATTAACAGGTAAATTGCTCTGAATGAATTTGTAGTGTATGATTAGTAATTGAGAGTGAATTGTAGGCTAGTCTTCTGTCAGCATCCTGTATTTTATGTTTTTATGTCCAGTGTGAGTTCTGTGGGTGCCCTTTCATTAGCGATAAGCAGGCATTACGCTGTGACAACTTCTAAAACTGCAATCTAATAATAGTCTCAAACTTTATATTTGTATTTGCTATATCTAATATGCGATTTTTGGACAAGTAAAATGCTTGTCTCCACAAGCTTGTACAAGCTTGTTTGTTATGGTGTTACTGGATGACACTCTTTCTAATAATGTTTTCTTAGCATGAAACTAGGGCACTTTACAATTTAATGAGAATAAACCTTAAGGTATAAGCCTACTAGTCATCTTTAGAAAGTTGGTCATAAATCGCATGAAAATGTTCATTGGTTTATTGTGTGTTACAGAGAAGTATTTTGAGAAACTTGTCCTAATATTTTTCAAAAATCACTGTTTATAGAACAATTCCATAGAGCACAACAAATTTCATTTTTTTGCACTTTTAAAACACAGATTTTTGAAATAATTGATAACAACAAAAAGTACCCCGTCATTTATAATATATCGTTTTTTCAGCCATTACCTGCAATTTAAGATACTATATATTATCTCTACCATGGGAACCTATGGTAAAATCACTGTTACAGTAATACTGCCAAAATTGCCCCTATCCACTAAAATACAACCATCAAAATAAAGCTGGTGACGCCCAACTTTTTAAGTCAATATCCTTATATTGCTTGAAAGTACAATAAGTTATTGGTATTTGAAATCACGAATAGGCTTCTACCTTAAATCAACCGTGACTAGCATACACTGTATGTTTGAGAATACACAGCATGGAAGTGTTTAAGCATGGAGTGACACTGAAAATAAACCTTGGATATGAGAGAAGGAGTTGTCATGTCTATTTCATTTGTGTAGGTCATTAATGTTGGTATTGATAAATTGTCTTCTGTGCAAGCTTGTATTGGCACCATGCTGATATAATTAGCTGCCACTAAAGGGAAGGGACTTTTATTTCTAATATCAGTAAATAAATATCTATATTGCTGCAGGTCCAGAGGGTTATGAGTACCACATTGTTGGAGGTGTTGAGAGATGTTATAAATTTGTAAAAAATGTCAGAGATCGTGAACCATGGAACAATGCCAGAGAGAACTGTCTTTCCACTGAGTATGGTGATTTGGTGATTATTAATGATGATGTTGAACTTCAATATGTCACTGACCAGATGGATGGAGAAAACTATTGGATAGGTATGAACAAATATATACTAGTTTTTTTTTTTTTTTTATTTCTGTTCAAGATGGAATATGGGCTAATTAATGACATCTGTGCATCCATCCGTCAATGGTTTTACCCAGAACTACTATATCTCAGCATAATTTTCTGGACCATCTATTTTCAATATAAATCATGGAACATGTATACTGTGCATTATGTTTTAATTCAAAATGGCTTGCTGGTGGCAACTGTATGCACCAAAATCAGTACTTTCTACCATTCTTTAGGTAAATCTTAAACCTGCATGATAGAATACGAACAAAGCATGTTCTGAAGCCTTATTTTCTAAGTGCCTGGACCAATTGCAATTTTAATTATAATAATATATTCTTAATGCAAAACTGTTGTAATAAAATGGTAGAACTGTTTTGATGCTGTGTTTCCTTATATATTGTAGGATATTCTGACATATCTGTTGAGGGTCGATGGAGATGGATAGACTGCAGAGATTCCTCTGAATGGGATCTTTCCAACTGGGCAGAGGGAGAACCTTCAAATGAACCATATGAAGACTGTGCCTTGGTAGATGATCTCCATTGGCAAGATGGGAATTGTAGAATACCACAATACTATGTTTGTGAAATCAACTACAAAGGTATGAGCTGAATGATGACACAGGTGCCTTAATTTAACACACACCATGTATGCGTATTGAGAACTTTGAGTAAGAGATGGGGTTGTTGATAAGCCATTGTGGAAACAACTACATTTCTGTTGCAGATAGATGAAATCGTTTCAGCCTAAAGCTATATAACTATTATTGTAAATAAAGTTGCAAAGCAATTCAATTGGCAATTAGTTAATGTGGATATTTTTTTTAGAATGCATACTAATTACTGGTAGGTAACTTCTCACTTGTAAAACTTATTGAAAACATTTTGAGCAACTTTGAGCAATAATGTATCAATATGTGACAATGTTCTCAAGGAATTTTGGAATTTGCTATGATATTAATGAAGAAACTTATGGTGAATTCAACAGTTTGTCGGTAAATGAATTGTTGTTCAATGTTTTTCAGAATTTGAATATCCAGATGACATCAATGTACAGGCCGTTGATGCTGTTGGTATCTCATCCTATGATATTCATGTTACCTGGACAGTATCTGACTACAACTGTGATGTGATTGGCTACTCTGTTAAATACAGACGATATGATTGGTTGGGAGGATACATGTACACATATGTTGTTGGAGGTGATCAGAGTGAAGTTATTTTGACTGATTTAGAGAGTGCAACACGATATGTCATCTATGTGGCCGGTGATACCCATAAGCAATTGTTGGACTATGTTGGACCAGATACTGCTTGGACGTATGTAGGTAGGTTCACTATAATATTCAGGACACAAAATGAAGACAAGGTGTCCATTTTGAAAAAAACATACTGTAAAGGCTTATAACCCAATAAATTGTGGATCAATTTGGGCTGTTTCTATTTTGGAAATCTTAATTTCTCTAATATGTAGCATAATAAATATTTTGCTATTACAGTGATAAAGCCACCAGAACCTCCAGTAGAACCAGTGAAACCATGTGGTGCTAACTATACAACTAAAGATGACACTTTTATCCAGATAACATCACCAAATTATCCAGAAGACTATGATCATAATCTGGTCAGTATTTTATCATTTTCCCATATGTATTCTAATGCAACAACAACTGTTGCTAAGCAA